TTAATTTGTTTCTTATCATAGATCATGAATTTTTGGTTTGGCGGTCGGTCTCGAGTTCTAATGCAAATGACCTCGTAACGCTTTCAGGGTTCCCATAGTCGAGAGTTCCTGACTCGAGCGTCTAACTTGTTTTATCTTGATTTAGTAGCTTCTGTGGGCATTTATACATATGTTGTGTAATAAAATTGGAGCATAAAATTGACTGTTTTAAAAAGGGTCTTTTAAAAGGAGACGCAATGCGTGGATTACACAGGTCCGGGATATGCTACCGCCCAAGAAATGATTTTTATAATTGCTGCGTTTATGCGGCAGAGTAGGACTAGGATTAGCTTTAAGATCGTTGATATTCGCAAACTTAACTCCCAGTCTCAGGACAATCGGGCAGTTCGTCGTCCCGACCCCCGGCTGTGTGTCACAGCTGAAATTATACCCACTATCGCACTGATTAAATTCTTTATATAAGCTAAGATTCAAGCCTAAAGTATTACGGATGAAAACTTCATCTCTGATATTAAAACCACCTTTTCAGTGGCCCCTCAGATAGCTATCAACATATCTTGAGCTTACCTGCTTAATTGTAAAAATAAAGGACTTAAATCGAAACTAACTTTCTAACCTAGTTCTACCCTTAAAGCACATTATGTTGCTTTTGATTTTATTGAGCTTTTGGTTGCATCGGACATCTCAATTTCTTCAGTCTTTTCTTCCAAATTACTTACACATTCCTTACCGTGCGCCGTTGACTCTGCTCTTTCGTTTCCCCCACGGTCCTATATGCCAATTTATCTAATTTATCTATTCGCTGTTAAATCCGCTCCTTACTTTCTGATACCAATTACCTTGCCTTGGCACTGTCCCAAACTCGCGGAATAATGTACATATGATGTTCGCCTTGCTTATAAAGTTATTGCTTCCTGTAATCTATTTCAAACTGACCATGTTGCAGTTCAGTCCTGGTCTTAGCCAATAAATATAAGCTTAATGGTCTGGGGAAGTTAGTAAAAATAGCAGACTAGCTGTTAAAAGCTTCAACGGCTCTATAGGAAATTCAATAAATTTGAATTCTTCATCCAAAACATTTAAATATTGAAAACACTTTTCATTCGCCAGTCAAGTCTTCACGTCACTCCTCGCTTACTCTGATTTGGTTTGTCGACATTGTATACCTTTTGGATAGAGAAGTCATTCTGACCAACGAAATTTCTACATTTAGGTCAAGTTGCTTTGACTTCTTTGACCAACTTCGGCATAGCACAGCGTTGCTTAGCCATTTATTCCCCCATGCAAATGCCGGTATATACACGTATTGGTAATGACCCTTGAAGGAAAATATTATGCCCTTTTGTGTAATCCATGGATACTACTTTGTGGTAACCTTGCAAGTGACATGAGTTTATTGGTGGGCAACTTAGGTTGCCTTTATCGCAGGTTAATTTAATAATAATGCATCAGTCTTTTAAGACAAAATATGATAAGCAGCTCAAAAAACTAACGAGAAAATTTATAAAATCAGTAAAAACATCCGAGACGAACCAAGAAAAATTTATTTTAAAGGCGACTTAGATCAGGGCCCCATATATATAGTCAAACCAGTATTAAATCAGACGACGAAAATTTAAGCAATTACCTAGCTTAAGAAGCTAACCAACAAATAACATCGCTTTATTGGCCTGGTTATTAATTATTTAATTCATAATTTTAAAGAACCAAACATTTTTGCGCATTAATTCTAGAGATGGATGGAGCTTCAAAGGAAATCTGATAAATGGAGGTAGGGTTGATAGCCTATTTCCATATTACCTTCGGAATATAGGTGAAAAAGTAATACGTTAAATTTAAAACCCAAAACTTACCACGGTCAAGGGCTGCCTATACATATTTAACATTACATGTTTTTTAAAAGTTTATTGACAATTGTTTTGAGTTCAAGTAAGGACATTCTTACTTTTGTAATTGGTCGCAAAATGATGTTAATGTAATGCTGATAGGTTTAACAGCGATACCTGTTATTGCAACTGCAGCTTTGACAGCTGATTTTATAAACCAAATTAACTGAGATATAAGAATGGTTATTTTTGAAATGAAAGATAATTAATGTATATATTCTATTATACAAACTACATGTTAAAATAAGATTTGAAATAGGATTTCGTTACATACATTTGCTGTACACCTTTTTTACACATGTTCAATGGGTTTAGGGTATAACAAAAATATACAGGTTTAAAACTATTCTCCCAACATAGTGAAGAGTAAAACATTGTCTAATTAAGAGGATTTAGAAAATGATAAGCATACATACATTTGTCAAAATATACTTAATTATAAGCCATTTTTGATTACATTTTGCAAAATCGCCAAAATCAAAAAAAATAAATTTGTAAATATTGTAAGTCATAAGTCCTTTAAAAAATAAAAAAAAGCATTAATAAAAAATGTATTTTTTTCCTATACAGAGATACATATTTATTTATTTATTATTAATGGTCGACAAAACGTGTGTCTTTCTCATTATTCAATAGATTATACAATAGAAAATGGAATTATGTGCTAAAAGCCAAGTTAAAGAACACAATTTTCTAAATAGCATCACCGACCGATGGAGGTTTTTTATTTGCCAGTCCGGCCTGTGCTCCTTTTCACAGGTAATTTTGTCAGTGACGCTATTAGACCCTACAGCTAAGAAGAAGGGTGTAACTAGGAAAACAATGTTCTTAAGTAAAATTAAAAATGATCTTTATTTGCTATATTAATTAAAACAAAAAAACAATAAATAGGAAAAAAGAAAATTGTTCAACATATAATAAATACAAAGAGGATACCAGTTTTGTGTGCCAACACCAAAACTAGAAACTTTAGAGTTACATTCAGAATACTATTATTTTTCATAATAATTATAGGGTCCCGTAAATGACAGCGCTCAGCGAACTTTTCACATGGTATATATGCCGCCTTATACCTGTTAATATTATTTCTGCCCGTCCGTATGTATAACCGCAAGAATCTCAGAACCTATAAGAGCTAGAGACTTGACTTTAGCTATAAGTCGTCCTAGTGCCTGCGCAGATCGAGTTTGTTTCCGATAATCGATAACTTACTCCGTTTCAAAGCAATTGATAAAAATCGATGTCTACATCCTGCTTTTTGAGAAAATTGGGTAAATATTAAGAGCCAGAGCCATCAAACTTAATATGTTGCATTTAGAATAGTATATATACATATTAAGTATCTATAGCTATAAATCAAGTAAATAATATATATATTCGCCCACCAATAAAGGCCACAATTTAAACGTAATTAAGTTTTTATAATACACGAATATTTTATGGTACAGTAAGGTGCTAAAAATTTTATCAAAATCGGTTAAAATAAACAGAAGTTATTTAATAAAACATGTTTTTGCTGGTCTCGAGTTTGGGGCAGCAAGCGCAAATTGCAAGAATTTCTGCATACATATACACACAAACACATTCATGGGCATTTTCTTTGAATTATATCAACAGCATTGCAATTGCGATTGTACTGCTTTCTGTGCGGCTATTTTAATTCATTGTTTTCCCAGTTAGACTTAATTAATGGCGTTGATGTTTATTAGAGACGGTGCCAAGTGCAGCGGTCCGTTGCGAGTTTGAACCCTAGGGAGGAAACAACTTTTTTTGGCGTATAGTCGGTAGCAAGTAATGCGACAGTTGCGAGTTCGAACCTTGCCAAGGGAACTTTTTTTTTTATTTATCTATATTTTTACTTGTTTTCGATTCAACATGTTCTGCCATCTAAATCCCAAATGTTATTCAAGTGGCAAACACAACGGTTAAGGCCAAAGGTTATTTTTAAAGTATCTCGACGTATAAAAAAATCAGGCAAATGTAGAACGTGAAAAAGCCACCAAACGTAAACCAAATGTACATATGTTTATAAATGATAACTTTACTTTTTCAAGACATCTTTACAAAAACTTGTTATTTCTTAATTTCACTATATTCTGACTAAGTTCTTGCATGAAAAACTTTTTTTTTTCCAAGATACCTTTAGCAATTTCGACATTCGTTTATATTCTGATATCTAAAGGATTTATTGTACTTGTTAGTAATCTTACCCAACAGTTTTATTTTAACGTAAAATATACAATTATTAATTGGTACACACGCCCAAACTGCGCCCTTTTGGTAGGGGATGTGTTTCTTTTCCTTTCTTCTCATCTTCAGAATATGGTATTTTCATTCATAAATTGTTGTTAAGTGATTTTTCCCAACAATATGGAATTCGAACGTAAGGATGGGATATGCCAAAGATTTTATTATTTAGTCAAAATATGTGAATATTAAAAAAACAATAACTTCTGTGATTCTGTTGAGCCAATATACAAAATTCAAGAATATTGTCTAGTTTTGTTTTTGTCATACGAAAACATGAATGCTTTATGGATTCAGATATGTCTTCTGTATGTTTACACAAAATTTGTAACATTAAATTCATTCACCACATACTTTGACTCGTTCCACTTTCAATATTTCAGGGAAGAACAAATCGAATATGTACTTAAGTACATACATACATACATATGCAAGTACGTGCATTTGAACACTTGTATATTTTATTATGTATACACATTTTTTGGTCTAAGGCTATTTTTCTTTTATTGTATATGTATGACGAATGTTAGTACATTCTTAAAAGTTTTAACCAAATGCTTATTTTAAATCATAAATATGTAAACATTAATACATATGTTAATAAAACTGTCCATGAGTATATATATATGTACATATGTATGTGCATATATTCGTATACCCTTTAGTTTGTATACAGATTGGCAGGAAATGAAAAAATGTATTGTTATAGTTAATGCTCCTTCTAAAATTTAGCGCATTTTAATTATATTAAGATATAAAACATTGCTTTCTCACATATATATATATATATATAAATATATATATATGTATATGCATATATACATAATTTTCATTGACATTTGAATAAATACGTTTGCAAATGGGTACCTGGGATCCGGTAAAATTAATTTTTTGCTGGCTCTTGCTGCTGGAGTGCACTTTGACTTTTCCATTGCCATCAAATAGCTGACATCAGCTAAAACAGCTTCCAAATCTGCCATTTTAGTAGTTTATACAATATGTGATTTGTTTACGTTTATATGGCTCGCTTTGAAAGAAGTGAACTTAATGAAACAAACAATTTTTCAACTTGAAAGCACCAAGGTATATAACAACTTAGAATAAATTAGAGTTTTTCTATAAATGATCAATAATAGTCTTATGCGTTTTTGCCCGAATTTAATAATATTTCTTATTTTGAACACGACTGAAAACGCTGTTTACCAATGCGTTTATTGATATGGTATTTTATAGTCCCAGTTACTTGCGAAAAGTACTTTAAAAATGTATTTGCAGCGAAGACATCACTAATAAACGTTACTGACCATTGAGATACATATTAAAAGTACACAGTGCCAAGTCTGGCTCTTGAAAAAAGCGGTTGCAAAAATTACAAGAAAATGCATGGTAGTGTAAAAATATAATTTAAAAGGTATTTTCCGGCCTTGCCCGTGGCAAGTTTTGTGATTTTAGATAAACATCATTTTTTTCCCCAGTTTCCGGCTGTGGGTGGACTTACTACCCGAGAAAGTCTAGTCTAAATTTACATGGATATTTGAAAATATTTTTAAAGTCCATCGAATAAGGAAGCAATAAAATAGAAAAATAGCAGCCCCCTAGCTTTTACTGTTTAGGCTTCGCGTTGATTAACAAGCATTCAGTCAGTCTAGACAAATAGTTTCCTATGTAGAGACGCTATCGATCCTCCACGACTATTCAAAAACATGTTTGAAGTCCATCAAATATAGAACCAAAAGTTAGAATCAATGGTTTCCGCTCAAGATAGTCTTGCTTTTAGAATCTTTGACTAGCATTTAACATCCAACAGCGGTTGATTTTGCAAACAGATTTTGCGAAAATCATGGAAAATAAATTTGAAACCGATTAAAAAAGTTTTATTTAACGGTTTTTTGCCAATTTACAAAATCTCTGAAGCATGTATTGATCAGATTCTCATGTAGGGATTTAGCAATGAGCTTGACGCAAATCGGACAGAACTTAAAACTTCTCAAAAAAATGTTATATTCACATTTTCCAATAGGAAGCTTGCATTATACGAAAAGTGTGAAACACATCTTAATTAATTTTTCATTAAGATCCTCAAAAACGAATATCAATGCGAAACTTTACAAACCAAAGCTGTGTTCCAATTCCCTCAAAGGAAGAACAAATTTTTCAAATAGTATGAAACCCGCTCGTAAATTCATTTTTAACGTTTTTCTATACTTGATGGTGGAATTTCTCAAACCCTTACAATCATTCAATCAGTCGGTCATGACAAACAGTTATATATATAATAGAACTTTACGCATGGCACTACTTTGTTTTGTTTATTGTTAAAAGATAATCACTATCTGTAATTTCAATGTAATGGGCAATAATGGACCAACATAGAGCTCTGAATGACACAAAAAATGACAATAGAACCCAAATTGATGAAACGAACGATACTGGGGATCGAACGACGAAAACGAACCATACAACGACTCAAATGAACGGCAACTGACGAATCTTGCTGGAAGCAGGCCCTGGACACTGATCGTGCTAGCGTTTCCTAGAATGTGGCATATTAACCTCGAGCGCCAGAGTTTTGGAGCATTTAGAGGCATGAATCGTACCATCCTTGACGTTCTGCGAAGGTTAAGGGCTTACCGTCATGATGAACTCATACAATAGCCGTACAAAAGAAAAAGACCAATCAGTAACAAAATATGAAAGGCAGAAAAAAACTAAAAGAAAGGAAACCCGAGCCAGCCAGGAAGCGGCTGGTGCATAACACTCAATACGAAAACTATAAAGAAAAGATCAAGAAAGGCGAAAAAATATTCCAAAGCAAAATTTTATATACAGAGCACATGTGTAAGCATTTGTAGGCTTCACATAAAGGTCGATTATTCGAAAACTGAAGTGTAATATACGCAGTCACGAGCATTGTGATATAACTTTTCTTAAATATATTTGCGCTACAAGCCCTACAATCTCAATGAACTGATTCAAAAACCAACTTTTACAGACAAAAGCCAATCAATCATCTGACTTCAATCAGAAAGGTTCGGGAAAGACTGGTCACTACTTGCAGACATTGCAGTGTCCCAAGGCATTATGCCGGAGCATCAGAGTCACCGACCGTAAACTCTGAGTATTTGACCGGCGATTGAACTGCAAACCGTCTTCGCGATGATCGAGCAGGCATTCTGTGGCTACACATCAAATTAGTTTAAACTTTTAAACTGTATCTGACTACTTGCCACCATCTCTACTCGAATGTCATACTATTAAGTGCATTTTTAATGAAAAAAACAGGGCAGAGGTTCTAGTCGGAAGTTCGCCTCTTCTACCAACATCGCATGCAGCTTGCTCTTCGAACTTGCTTCCGTTAGCAATAATAAAAACAAATTGAAACAAGTAGAGGTTCTAGACTGGAGCTCCCGACAAAGGGATACCCTAACCCTCTTCTTCCAAAACCACAAGCAGCACGCTACGCTCTCGTTTCTAAAAATAAAGATAAATTAAAAAAAGAAAGTTCCTTTGGCAGAGTTCGAACTCGTAACTGACTTACTTGTAGCCGACTCTGCGCCAAAAGAATATGTGTACGCCAAAAAAAGAAGTAGTTTCCTCCCTAGGGCTTGAATTCGCACTGGACCTCTGCACTTGGCACCGCCTCTAATAAACATCCACGCCAATAATAAATCCTTGCTGAGAACACAACGAATTAAAATGGCAGCACAGAAAACAGTACAATCGCAATTGCAATGTTGATAGAATTCAAACAAAATGCGCATGAATCTGTGTTTGTGTATATGTGTACAGAAATTCTTGCGATTCGCGCTTGCTGCCCCAAGGCACTGAGGACAATTATTTAAAAGCATTGGACAGCCTAAAGAGAGTATACGACAATGAATGTCTAATATTTAATGAAAAAATTTCTCTCTCTCTTTAGCCTGCCAAGCAAAAATCAGCCTTCTGCAGCATCATTGAGAACAATGATTGGCACTGTCGCCGCCATCTATGGCTCGCTCCTGTCAATAGGTGATGACAAAAAGATTTCTAACGCGATTGTCATTCACCTCGTTATGAAGAAACTTGACCCAATGACCAGACTAAAATGGGAGGATAAACTCATTATGCAGTCATTCCACTATGGAGTGATTGTGGAACAGCTTTGAATCGTAGATATCAACACCTTTCTGCCGAAGAATCAGCCACAGCGTCGTTCGATGGCCCGAAGCCAGAGTTTAAGGGTGTTTCCAAAAACAATAATTGAGGTTCGTTTTCGTGTTCTGTGCCTAGTGGAAGAAACGATCAAGTGACCCCAAAATGTTTAGTTTGCTTTCCGAAGGGCATTCGATATTGAATTGCCCAGCATCTCCGCGTTATCAGTACAAAGTTAAGTTCGCTAAGGAGAAAGGAGCACACTGTTGCAAAATGTAAGGCAAACAAGCTCAGAGTATTCAGTCGTTCTCATAACACACTGTTGCATAGATACTCTGCCGGTTTTAACACTCGAGGGTTAACACTACCTCTTGACTACGCACAGGATCAACCATCGACTTCACATGCTATGCATGCGAATGTGTCTGATAGTGTAATCCTAGCTACCGCAGTCGTTAGCGTTGAAGCAAGAAGTGGTGAGTTCGTTTTGGCTAGAGCTTTACTCGATCCTTGATCACAAATTAATTTTGTAACAGACGAGCTAACACAACTATATCAGCTGCGTAGAGAAGAGGCTAGCATCAGCTTTTTTGGGATTGCTCAATGCAATACTCAAGTAAGAAAGATGATTATACAGTGATGAAGTCGCGAGTCAATTGCAGTGAGTTCTCGTTAGATTTGTAGATTTTAAAGACCATTTCGGGTTATCATCCAGACTATACGGTCAACGTCAGTGGTTGGAAAATCCCTGAGAGGCTGCAATTGGCTGATGCATATTTTCACAAGCCACAGAAGATCTACATGCTCATAGGAGCATGACACGTTCTTTGAGCTTCTGTCTGTCGGTCAGATTAAACAAGGTCTGAATTGCCCGATTCTGCAAAAGACACTTGTTGGCTGTATTGTATCAGGGCGTTACACGCCGTCAAGTTATGAGAAGACTCATGCTGAGTTGCCAAGAAGAGTCTTATGCCTCGATAAACAAAACATTGCAGAAATTTTGGTCATTGGAAGAGTTGCCTTCAGCCAAAAAGGTCCGAACAGCAGTAATGTGAGAGCCACTTTCTAGATAATTTGGAAATAATGCCGTCAGGTCGATTTAAAGTGAGACTGCCATTTAAATTGGGTCCCAATGAGCTTGGTAACACTTTCGAGGTTGCTAAGCGTCGTTTTTTTGTCGCTTGAACGACGCTTGTCTCGAAATCCCTAGCTTTAGGTCACATGCCTAAAATAGATGATCAGATTCCGAGTAATCCACACTACTTCATTCCGCATCAGTGTGTTTTAAGACCACAAAGACATCGACGAAGTTACGCGTCGGACATCGTCTCATATTGCGTTGAATTACCTTCTAATTCAAGAGGAGCTATACTCGACCCTACTTCGATTTCGACTCCACAAATATGCGTTGATAGCTGACGTCAAATAGATTTATAGGCAGGTGCATGGTGCATGAAGAAGATCGAAATTTCCAGCTCGTAGTGTGGAGAAGGAACCCATCTGACTCTTTGAGGTCCTTCAGCCTGTGCCTGCCCCGTTTTTGGCAATACGGTATTTAACAAAGCTAAGCGAGATGAGCGAGCCATCACACCCTAAAGTTGCTGACGTTATCAGGCACGACTTTTATGTCGATGATTTACTGACTGGTGCTGCATGTGTCGCGAAAATTGCCAAATACCTACAAAGCAAAACCCAGCAGTTAATGTTTCAAGAGGCTGCGATGTTGATGAATTACTTGCATAGATGTGGTTCGATGGGCCTTCATTTTTAAAGAAACCAGAGAATCCAGGCCGGTTAACCATCATCTGATGACAGATGAGATTCGAATTCTAGAAGTACGCAAAACAGCTGTTGGACTAGCAGCTATGGTAGACCGACCAGATATCTAGGAAACTATCGATAGTTTCTCATTGCATGGCAGGCTGTCGAGAAGTACAATTTGAAGAAAAAAAGGTTTCGAGAAAATAGTTGAAGTCATCCAACGAGTTGAATTTAAAGATGACATAGATAGAGTTCGAAAGGGCACACACGTGGGTCATAGCCTGCAGCGTCTCAATCAATTTATACATGAGTATAATGGATCTTGGTGCTCCTTTTTGTTGTTGCGAGAAGGGGGACGACTTGTAAATGCTCCTATTTCATATGATGCCAGGTTTCCGCTACTTTTAAAAAAAGCTCGCTATTCGCTAGAAGCTTTATTAGATACCTGCATTTGACGAATTGTCATGCTGGTCCGAGAGCAGCAGATCGACACCGAGCGCTCCGCCCATTTTCTATCTGTTATAAGTACGACCTTTCGAATGCTTGGAAAGCCTACGAATAAGTCGTAGCACTATTTGTTTGCTTCGCCTCCAAAGGGGTTTACTTAGAACTAGTATCTGCCTTATCCACTAATACATTTTTAATGGCTTTTCAAAGGTTCGTCGGCCGAAGTTGAAGTCTAGTGTAAGTTAGGTTAATCACTCCCTCTGGGAGCGAATTCGCCTTGCTTGTCTTTTAAAGTCACCAAATTTCGTTTTTGTAAATTATTTAAAATAATATAATTTTTCAAGCCTTTTAACTTATTTTTAATAGGTTCAGGGTATAAAAACAAGAAGAAACCAAAAAAAAGTTGTAACTGTGGTGAGCACAGGACAAGAATCAATAAATTTGTATGCTGGGGCAAAGAGAATCAAATCAATAGCAATTCAAAACGAGAAAGTAAGGATGTCTTTAGCCCGCCGAAGATTTTATACCCTTGCAGACATTTCCCATTTGCAGATATGTAGGAAAAGTGCAGATCGAAAATGCTAAGTTTGTTGAAATATCTTTGAAAACAGTATAATATGTACTATAGCCAGGAGACAATCTGAAAAAAATTTAGGAACACGGAAAAACAGTAGAAAAAGAATTACAGATAAGCAGCCGCCTGACACCAAACTTATCTCACCCATTTTTGTTATCTGCAAGTGTGTATCAATATATATGTAGAAATATAGAAATTTTTAGTAGCGTTAGAAGTAGTAGAAATAGTAAGGAAAAGGAAAGGAAAACATACTTTGAAGAGAAGGCTTATGAGATAGGGTACATTAAAGGTAGAGGGTCCAAATTTCCGATAATGCGCTCACAATCTCAAAGAAACCAAGGCTGCTATTTTTTCGAACTGGATAGAAGCTCCCAATCATTGGTCATGGATTACTCCACCAAGCCGCGGGAGGCCAATACAGTGGGTGTCATGAGTCCCATTGCAAAACCATGGCCTCCGAGTTCTCATTATTGCAGGCGCAAATGAGAGAAGACATGCTTGAGTTCATGAAGAGCTCAACGACAGCGTAGCCGAGATGAGTGCTGACACTGGAACACGATAGTGAGGAAGTGGCTGCTTAATGGATTACGCAGGCACAGCTGCAAGACCACAAGCCGGAATCCCGTTGTAGCAGCAACAAATGTCTGAAGATCTGGCAAGGGCGATCGATCATCGATTGTTGGAGATAATGTTCCCCACAAGTTCCGAAACACCGGAGGGCAAGATTCTAGCATTCGAACCTGTGCCCATCAGCCGAAGACTGAAGTGGTGCATATCAAGAAATGGGGATAAATATTTGATGGTGGAACTAAAGGTATGCTGGTGTCAGAATTCACCTTTCGGTTGGAACGTATGCAACTGACTTACCAGGTTCCATGGAGAGAAGTGTTGCGCGATTTCCACGTCCTAGTTAAGGGTCAGGTGAAGTAGTGGTATTGAATGCACCTTCGTATATCATTGCAACAACAGTTCTAGACCAGGCGTTCGAGTTTTGAGCTGGAGCACGAATGGCGCGAGAGGAATCAGAATCTAGGCGAGACAATCGAAGAATACATCCAGGCGATGCTAGGTCTGCACTCTCGATTGGCAACACCGTTTTCCGATCATGACCTAATAAAAATATTGAAAATGAATATAAGTGCTGCTGTCTCCAGAATTAAGTTCCCATGTACACCACTAACATGGAGGAGCTGTGGGTAGAGTGCCTGCCGAAAACTCGCTGGAAGCCTGCAAATGCAGCATACGTTCAGGCACGGCAAATCAGAAGTATTCACCAAGTTCACGAGGTATATGTTTCGGATGATGAACCAGGAGGCGAAGCGCAACAGGAGGAGCGAGTGGAGGCTTTGTATTGGCCGCGCGAAGGAGGCAGCGATAAGCTCACTCATTGGAATTGTGCCCAGAGAGGGCACATATTTTGGGAGTGCGAGTCCTATACCCGAAACAGTTTTTGTTATAAATGTTGTCTGCCAGGTGTTGTTCTTCCCAAATTTCCGAACTGCCAGGCAGAAAACAGCCAGGAGCCTGACGCAATCGAAGGTTTCGCGCTCCAAGCCGTCACAACAGGGGAATGAAATACCTCCACTAATGTGTTAGTAGAGTAAACAGATAGCTTATGCTAAATATAATCTACTAAAAATTAACATCAATCGCAATAATTACATTAGATGGTCATAACGGAAGCCACTTAAAGTGAGAGAAGCAGAATATGCTTCTTCGAGTACGTATTTATGACAGAATATGGCCCAGCCACGGTGAAACGAGCGCGTTCTTGCTACAAACAGCGGCAGGAGCTTAGAATGGTATCGTGGTATGGATCTTCAAAGGCGACGATCGTGCATTCGCATGGGTTGGGACAGCGAGAGCTGAGCTGCTGAATACAGGAGCATCCGTCAGTTTGTTGGGAGAAAGTTGCCTGCAATTGATAAAATAATTTGAATTACAAATTTACCGGCTACGATCGATAGCTCAATCAGCTGGGGCCACGCAACATCACATTCTGGGTCTTGTCTATCCCACAATATTATACAACAGCCAGACTCACCAACTAACGCTGCATCTATACCCATCTCTCAACCAGTCACTGTTACTTGAAGTGGATTTTCGGTGAAAATTCGGCTTGGCGCCGGAAATTTTATGATCCGAGAAGCTGGGATATTTCGTTTCAGGGTTCACGGGATGCTATACAAAATTCATCCGAGACTTTCTGGACTAACTGCACCCCTAATAGACTGATTGAAGGCGAAAACGAAGCTGGTGTTGACCGCAGAAGCGATAAAGGCTTTTCAGGAGCTCAAGAAGGCACCCAGTGCGATGCAAGCCAATTTGAAATAGGAGCGTTGCTTCTTCAGAGAGCAAAACAAAATTTTAGTAGGGCGGAAAAGGAATGCCTGGGAGGCTCGCTCATTGGTCACAAGCATTTAACTTTAAAATAGCGTTGCGGATATGTTGTCTAGACTGTTCGAATTGGAAGAAGTTCACGTGTTCAATTTTGAGACCACTGAGTTTGAGAGCGAAGAGTATTTTAAAAGGCTGCAACCCTTAGCTTAGATGAGCAGACGGACCAGTTTCTAGACTTACGTATCGAGGAGGGTCTGTTATTTAAGAGATCCCAGTTCAACAGCAGCGAATTCCCCCAAAAGCTGTGGGTTGCTGAAGCGCTTACCTTGACGCTTATACAAAACGCGCATGAAGGTGAGTGGGTGGTGGGATTGCGAAGACTCTGGCCATAGTCAAGCAATTCTAATACTGGCCCCGTATGTCAATACCAGTCCACAAGTATGTCATCAACTGTGAAATCTCCAAAAAGACAAAGCACACGACTCAGATTGCTCGTCAACCTATGCGCAAGGAAGTTTACATTGAAAAGCCAATACACACCTTTTTATTGTGCTTCATCACTTTACCAAATTCGCTTGGCTGGAAGCGATATCAAAGGCAACGACTACGGCAGGGGTGAAACTTTTACGTGTTCATATATTTACGCAGTTCGGAGTACCTGAAATTATTCATACGGACAATGGCAGACAGTTCACGTCTAATAAAATTGCCAAGTTCACGAATGAATATGGGATCGCTCACCACAAGACAGGGAGCTGTGTGCCGCAAGCAAACGCGTCCGAGAGGGTGAACCAGTCTGTGCTCGCGGCAATCCGCGTCTATATCGAAACATCGCCATATTTTGCCATGTTCGCACAGCATATGTTCACGAACGGAGCGGATTACAGACTAGCACGCAGATTAACTTCCGTAAGCGACATGGAGGTGCAGAATTTAGCCCGTGTCGATAAGCACCAGATTTATAGGGCCATTTTACATCTTAACGTACTTGCCTGGACTGGAGAGCACAACTTAACCTGAGCAACTGAAAGTTAGCCGCAATGAAAAGTTCTGCCATATATATGCCGAGCGCATAATGGTGAATGCTATCGAGTCAAGACTCTACGAGCTCGAAGCTGAAACTCAAGGCGATGATCTACGTTGGCGCTGATGAAACAACAACAAATTGCAACGAGGGAAAGTGGTATATGTTGTTGGGAGTAAGAAAAGATAGAAAAAGAAATCAGATCTCAGTGCGATCCGGAAGCAGGCCAAACATATATCCAAAATCATAGAAGGTCATAAGTTCACGTTAAGGGGTAGCGGGAAATTCCACGCGCAAGTGTGGAAAAATCGCCAAAAACGTTTGTATGAAACTTTTTTTGTTTTCCATCCGATTGGTCTCAAACTCAATTTTAAAGATTGTGTACAAATACATTTGAGGGTGTTTCACACTTTTCAAAAATCCATTCCTCCTTGATGGAAATGGTGGTCAAAGATTTTCTGGGTGATGTTTTGAGCTTAAATTTATTTCCAAGGATCTATATAAAAAATCATTTCAGACGCGTTTCACATTTTTCTCAAAGTCAAAGCTTCCTCGGACGAAAGTGCGATTCTACGATTTTTTGGAGAATTGTTAAGTTTTGTCCGATTCGTTCAAACATATTTTTAAACATAATAAATTAATTAGTACGTGTTTCAGCGATTATGCGGTGATGAGTGTTCCATTCCAGTCTATTCCTAATTGGTGAAAATGGGGTGCAAAGACGTTTCGCACTCAAATTCATTTCCAAGGATCTATATGAAAAATCTTTTCCATTTTTTGCAAACTCATTTAAAGATCTTAAAGCGCAGTTATTTTATACGTGTGTATAGTATGTGGCGATTCAATTGCTCTCTTAATTAATATATAACATTTTTCCAACGTGGTACTCAGCGGCGGTTACAAAAAGCTTTCTGTGACGTTCTTGACCATCAATAATGCCGTAAGCGAAATGTACCATATAAAGATAAAATTTTGGAATTGACAATTGGGTCCGGTACCCGGATCCACTCTGGAGAAAACTTATGTGGATTAGTAGTGTCTCTTATGTATTATTAGAGTCTCACCTTTGTTGTAGTTTGTTTTTTTTTCACCTGTTAATGTTGTTCATTTTTAGTTCCTGCGCTACAGATGTTTAATTTACTTGCATTGATATCGATTGTGCGGACTGTGGGCCGGGGATGGGACTACCCCTTGAGAACCAATGACCCAGCTGGCGCGGTCCAAAAGGAAAAGACACGTCCATAACAAATGGTTAAAAACATGATAATGTATGACCTGCATAACCTTGTTCAGTCTATATCTCTTCGTCTGCGGGCAGTAATGGACGCTATGGGTTAATATCCTAAATATGAATGCTAACATAGTTATAGCTTCCTAGATTTAGTTACATATACAATAATAATTTTAATTTTGCAAGGAATTAATTGACTGCAATTTTCCTGAATTGTAGTTTTGTTCTTCACATTTGTGATTTAAATTTTGGAATTTATCTGCCTTATATATATGAAGATTACTTAAATTAATATTAAAACGATGTTTTTCATTTTGCAAACAATTACTTGACAAACTGTATAGTAAAGATTCATTTTATGTATGCAATTTTTAGGTATATATCATGTTTAGTTAGTTTTTTTATTCAAAATTGTCTATGGAATTTTTGTACGATTAGATCATAAATTTCGTGTCTTTTGTACACAACGATGATATGCATATCTAGACAGTTTTCATTTTGCTTAACTACGCTATATTAATTTTACTAGCGTAGTACAATAATTTTGTTCTGTTTTGTAACGAATAAATACTCTCTGATAGTATCCTCCGTATTAAATCAAAAGTTCAAAAACTAGTTCACCTATTCAAATGAATCAGTTATAAAAAGTATCATTTGTGCAAGTGAACAGCATCTGAAGTTATATGTTTTTATATTACAAAAATAAGTATGGAACGTAATAAAACTAATGTCCCTAATAGGGGCCAAAAAAAAGTATTACTGGGTGCAGAACTCTTTGCTCTTGGCACCAAAAGTTGTCGTGACGATTCTAAGACGAAAATATTACCAATAAAAGGAATTCCAGGATCTAGCTCTGCCTCCACAGAGAGAAAAAGAGATGCTTCATCGAGCATTGTCAGTCATCCCAGTAAAAGATATCGTGCTAGCCTTAAAGATGGATTCCCAGACATGACCACCACAACCGGGATTGCCCACCACGAAATATGGGAACAATTGCCCGATGAGTGTGATATAGCAAATGTAATAGACTGCATATACGCTGCGATCGAGCAAAACGATAATGAAGTCATACGAATTATTTGTGGAGTGATCAGGCACGCAACATCAACATCCCTTGCTTCTCGGGCTAAGGTTGATAGCATCGCATATTTATCGCTGTTGTACATTGCAAAACTGCATCCACATTTCTTCAACAGTGATATCGTTGCATATGGACTTTTGTCTTTTTTGCGTCGAGAGACTAATATCAAAATGCGTTATAATATAAATCTTCACATATTAATTACAAACCTACTTAGTCGAGGCTTTTCAGATATATCACTATGGCCAGAAATATTCTTGCGAACTTACGTTGATGATGCCGTCAATGAACGATTTTGGGCAGACAGTGACTACTGTGCGCCATTTGTTAAAAATATTTGTGCCGCTTTTAAGACACGAACTCCTCATCTAAGCCTTCTACGTTGGGAGATGAACACAACAGTAACTTCAGGCCAAGCGCATAGAGATAATTTTACTGTCGATGATGATTCAGGTGATAATTCGACTCAGAGCTTAGATGCAAGTCCTTATTTGCATTTGGAATCAGATCAGGCAGCTGATTCAATTTGTTTAGTAAAGCGCCGATTTGCAGATAATACTGTTCAAAAGCTAGTAGGCGACGCTATCCGAGATCAACTAAACAAACGTCAGCAACAGGATAATTACACTAGAAATTTTCTCAAATTTCTTTGTACCAGCTCAGGAATCGGTGAAGTTCGCTGCCTTAGTGTCTCTCGGTTGGAACTATGGATTCATAACGGAAAACTTGTTAAGTTCGCCCAGCAATTATTATCATATATTTGCTTTAATATCAAGGGCAAAAACATTCAAGACAACGAAGTCCTTCAAGTATTAGTTAAAATGCGTTTAAAAACTAAACCACTTATCAACCATTATATGTCATGTCTAAAAGAGATGATACATTTGCAGCCAAATATATTAAGTACCATTATGAAACTTGTCGTGCAAAATGAGCTGTCCAATACAAGAAATCCAAATAACATGGGAATGCTTGGTAAGTAAAGATAATTTTGCAGTTTGTAAAGATTAGATATAAGTAACAATTTTCGTTTAACTTAAATCTTTAGAAATTTCACGAGTAACTATCAATGCTCGGTTAGGGATACCTTTAACACAGCATCCAAATTTAATCTACGCATGGCATAGAAGGACCTGTGTTTCAATTATCAAATCTAGCTCTTATAGTTCCCGAAATCGATGCGTCATACATGTGGTCGATGGTCTACATGGCTAGATCGACTCGCTGGCAAAGAGTACATTTACCTTATGGGCTCTCCTTTCACATGTATTAACACAAGGTCTTTGTACCCATTTGGGGAGTTAGCGATCGATTTAGGCTATAATAGACTAGTCGGGTGCATTGCTACATTGCTTACTGCAAAATGCTGCATCAAGTTTGCACTCTTTCAATGGCATCTAAAATAATTGTGTTTGTACTGGAAAATATATATATTTTTGGCGCCCCAATGAGCGTAATCAAATAATATTAATGTTGAATCTGACGAGGGTATACGCGATATGCTTCCAAAGCTTCAGCTGCGTCAAAAAAATCTAATTCACACAAACATCAAGACGGAAGACCAGCCAAAACAAGATGCCAGAAAGTTGCTAGAATGGAAATAAGTTTCCGTCCTTTGATTAAGGAATAAATAAAATAATAATTAGAATTCATTTAGTAAAAATTCAACGAAAGCATAAATCCAATTCTGTCGTATACTAAATTGAAAAATTTCTTACGTTGCTGTTGGCTGCAATCCACTGAGCAACACTCCACATCCCAATTGTATATTTATCAAATTAAATAATTTAATATTGTATATAAATTGAGTTAGCGACCAGTGCCTTAGTATAGTTAAGAAAAGCCTAAAGCAAGCTACTAAATATCTTAACATTCAATTTTTCGATTTGCCACGACTCCAATAGGCCACTTTCAAAGGTTTTTGAAGCAATCCTTGGTAGGTCTCAGATTTCACTTTTTGGATAGCGGCCTCCATTTCACCCATTTACTCACATTTGGGTGCCATAAATATAACACCAAGCATGGCTCAACAGTTTAATAAAGAAAGAAGATTAATTATCAGAGGTCAACTGGATTATAAAGGTAACCGTACACGACTATCTCAATTTAAGCCACGAAGGCCAAACTACAAGAATGGTTTCAGTTCAGATTTAATTCTGTGTTGATGAATAGAATATAATGGCGACCAGATACAGCACCAACAAAAGCGCATAAAGACACAAGTTCATAATCAAGACATAAGCATGTGCTCCCGATAAAACTAAAATAACCGAGTCGGTTAGTGCATTTTTATGAGATGACAATTGGAGTGTAATAAGAATAAAAACTATTCTAAATTGATTCAAATGTACTCCTCCGGTTATAAGTTTCTTCGACATCATCTCTTACTTGCTCTAATAGCTTATTAGAGTTTTCTTTTCGATTTGCCTTGCCTTTTAACAGTTTGACGGAAACAGGCGCATGTCTATATTTCTCCATTTGTAATGGCACCAAACAACCTTTCATACAGATAACATTACCGAAAGTAAGCATGCAACGTTAAAAAAAAGGGATATCGACGTGGCAAGCCGTTTCATCATTTCACATTGCTCCTCCCCTAAAACGAGAGCATAAATACGACCGAAATTTTAAAAGTGTAATTTGTGGGCATACATAAAGGCATACGTTTCGCCGATCTTTCTAACTCTAACTCTTTTCGATTTACGAGCCCTAACAAGCATGAAGTCATACATGTACACGACACATTCATGCGCGTCTGCTTCTCACTTTATCGCATTCTAACAGCATTGCAATTGCGACGTTTTTCTGTAATGCTATTTTAGTTCGTTTTTTTTTCTCGATAATACTTGATTATTGGCGTGGCTGTTAAGTAGATCCATAGCAAGTGTTGCGGTCTGTCGCTAGTTCAAGCCCTACCTGGGAGACAATTTTTTGTATACCCTTAACCCATTGAAAATGGGTAAAAAGGGTATATTGTATTTGTGCAAAATGCAAATGTATGTAACAGGCAGAAGGAAGCATCTCCGACCCCTTAAAGTATATATATTCTTGATCAGCATTAATAGCCGAGTCGATTTAGCCATGTCCGTCTGTCTGTCCGTCCGTCCGTCCGCCCGTATGTATGAACGCAAGGATCTTAGCACCTATAAGAGCTAGAGACTTGAAATTTTAGATGTAGGTCCTATTAGTGCCTGCGCAGATCGAGTTTTTTTTCGATAATCGATAACTTGCTCCGTTTCCAAGCAATCGATAAAAATCGATATCGACATCCTGTTTGTTGAGCAAATTGGGTAAATAATAAGGGCTAAAGTCACCAAACATGATATGTTGCTTCTAGAATATTATATATATGTCATGTATCTTTTATTTTATACCTATCTCCACCTCCCCGCTACCATCACAGTGCTATAAATCAAGTTAATAACCCAACTTTTACTGCCAATCAATTTAAGCCACAATTTAAATGCAATTGACTTTTTCAGAATACACAAATATTCTATGGTACAATAAGATATACTGTAGAAAATTTCATAAAGATCGGTTAAGAAAAAAACAAAGTTATATGCAACTGCGCAATTGGATGGGGAGAAGCTATAAGAATTTCTGTATACATGTACACACACATTCATGCGCGTCTTCTTCGCATTCTAACAACATGGTAAATGTGACTTTTTTCTGTTATGCTATTTTAGTTTCTTTCTTATCATAAGTTGGTGTGGCTGCTGAGTAGAGGCATAGCAAGTGGTGCGGTCTGTCGCGAGTTCGAGCCCTGCCAAGAGAACTTTTTTTTTAATTTATTCGGTGCTGGAATAAGAGGGTTCAGGGTATTCCCTAGTCGGGAACTCCCGACTAGAAACTTTTACTTGTTTGTGTTTAATTATATTGCTAAAAAGTTCTTGACCGGTTCCAGACGTCAATCTGGATAAAGTGAACTTTTAGGGAGCGTGTATAAAAGGTGGGCTCTGAGCCATGGCCTACTTTGGGTGATGTCAGTGGTTGCACTGACTTTTTAAAGAGTTCTAGTCCGATAGGACCTTAAAAATCATTCAACGTATTGACCACAAAGAATAATATTTTAACATCGAAACGATGGATGAGCCTTTTTCCCTAAGCCCGTGCTGCTGTGTATTAAATTTTGATGCGTTTTCTTAATATATGAATGTATGTCATTTTTAAATCCTTACAGCCCAAAAACATATATGTGTATGCATGTGCCTCGCTCTCACTAATTGCTTCGCGCACTTGCATCCATCTCTTTCTCCCAAAGCAAAGCTTCCCACAAAACCCCGAGATCTACAAACATTCATACGTTTGTGTTGCGTGGATGTGCGCACAAGTAGATCGCGGCGTTTGTCGCGAGCCAGAGGGTCTATCTTCAATTGTATGCCTTTTGTGCCTGTGGTAGCAATAGGCACTCACATTTAAATACTCTATCATGTATTTCTTCGTCCAGTCAGGCATGATATGAAGAAGTTGATCAAATTTAATTTAATACACAATTAATTGACCCAAATGAAATATTTGTATTTATTTTCTGTTTACTGTAGGGACCTATTTTGCTTTAAATACAAAAATATCTAAGTCGTATTTCTGCAAGGGTAATTCATCGTCGGCTTGCCGAAGATTTTAAGAAAAGACCAAAAATTGACGCACACTCTTTCAAGTAAGCAGTTGTGTGAAATTATTAAAGGGTTTGGCCTGTTCATGTGCAAAATTGCTATTTTCCATGCTTGTAATAGGGGTAAGGGTACCTGATCGCTGTCATGTATGCATGATAACTTTTTGGATCGGCCAACCACGCACACTAACACACTTTTCTATATGGATGGAAGCATTAATGCGTGTGCGTGTTGGTTGCCTGCCTGCTTGCCCGATGCAAATTTGACAAAATTTGATGTTTTTGGCATTTGTGAATTTCGAGCTCTACACATACACACTCACAAATGTGTGTGAATGAGCTGATTTGTCGTGAGGCAGAGATATTTTTTATCAATGGGTGCGTAAATTTGGGCGACTGGCACTTTTTTTGGCATGCCTGCCGTGGGCTTGAATGAAACAGGTGGATCGCACATGTCGCTCGTTTGCACTTTGATATGGAAAAAATGTTTTGTGGGAAGCTATGTAGGAAGAAAAAGCTGAACGCAAGTGCGCGAAGCAATGAGTGAGAGCGAGGCACATGCATACACACAAATGTTTTTGGGCTGTAAGGATTTAAAAATGGCATACATACATACATACATGTATATTAAGAAAACGTATCATCAGCCGCGACGTTGTGCGCTGAGCGAGATGCGGCTTCATACTGAGCGTTCGGCTTTTGAGGCCGGCGTTCGGCTGCCACTCTCAGCA